CGTTATGGGATTCTCAGAATTCACTTACTTGAAAGAAACAGAAATTTTCCAGATCATTGCTTTATTACCGTATCCAGAACTGAGGTACGAGAAGGGGGGGCTTGAAATTCTCTATTCGCCCTGAACTTGATAAACCCTCTCTAGAAGTTTTTTCCACCGATGTGGATGCTGTCATTGAAAGCTTTTTGCATAATTCTGAACAGAAGTCTATTTTGAAGGTTCATTGCTATCAATCTCTTAAGGATGAACTTTCTAAACGAAAGAAGCTCACTGGAAACCTTGCTAACACCCTCAAAAGTATAAAGTTCAAAATAAAGTCCCACAAACTTATAGTCAACAAGGCTGATAAGGGAAACTGCCTCTTGGTCCTCAGCGAAAATGACTATCTTGACAAAGTCGAACATTTCACAGCTTTATTAACAAGACTAGAAAACTGCTCAAGAAACACTCTGATTTCATAAAGAGTCAAAATAACAACAGAATCCCCTTTCCAAGCAACCTGACTATGCCAATACTTTATGGACTCTCCAAGATTCACGAAATGAATACGCCCATCAGGCCGGTGGTTAGTTTCTGTAACACCCCGGTTTAAATTCTGCATAGCTTCTTGAATACTTTTTTGGCCAGCCTAATCACCACCAATCCCACCTTTACCTTGAAAAACGCAGTCGACTTAGTTAATAAACTGAGCTCATTGAACATGCAAGACTCTCATATTATGGTGTCCTTTGATGTAACTAACTTGTACACAATCTCTAAACTCTCTAAAACCATTCCCATCATCACAGACTTGCTACGAAGTGATGATACAGAAAATGAATTAGTGACTACTATAGAAGAGTTGCTTTCCGCTTGCCTTGGTCAGGACTTCTTTATTTTCAATAAAAAAACCTACATACAGCCACATGGCCCAGCTATGGGCAACCCCTCGAGTTGCATGTTGGCTGACTATTTCCTGGACTTTTTCGAAAAAGCACTGATCCCGGCCCTAAATAACAAAGGTTTGGTCTTCTCGGCTAGGTATGTGGATGATTGTTTCGCCATACATACATACAAATCTAAATTCCGTTGACTCCATTCTCCAGAGCCTCAATAATTTGCACCCTTCACTTGAGTGCACTGTGGAAACCGAAGTTGAAAAAACCTTAAATTTCCTGGACCTTCCGATCAAAAATATATCCAATAGGCTGGAATACTCAATACTCAAACTGACCACATGATCCCCAGCTCTTCTCATCACTGCTCCTCACAAAAATGGCAGCTCTCTATTGTTACTTCAATCGTCTGTTCAATATTCCGATGAACCCTTCAAATTTCAACTTAGAACTGAATACACTTGGACTTGGAACAAAATGAGGAACAAGCGTGAAAGAGGCTTAGCTTATAGATCACAGAGTACTTCCAAATCTAGATTTTTCTCCATTCCTCACATTGGCACTGTCTCAAACAAAATTACTAGAACCCTCAGTGATAATATCGAAAACCTCAAAATTTCTTTCAAGTCTTCAAATTCTCTATAGGCTCACACTTAGACAACTCTAAGCCATAGTTACATCATACTACAAAAAATGGAACATATACAAGTTTAATTGCAACGACTGCAATTGTACTTACATTGGCAAAACCACTAGAGCTCTGAGCATCAGAATAAAAAAACACATTAATAGACCGAGTAAATCAGTTTTCGGACACCACAATTCTCCAAACATAACTTTTCACCTAATTCTAATAGCAAAATAATCCATGAACTTAGAAATAACAACACCCGCAGAATGGATTTTCTGAAGGATTTGGAATTCAAGAGAGAGTCCCTTGAAACCCAGACCGTTCAAATCTGAAAATGAATGTCAACAACGACAAGAACACAATCTTCAAGTTCTTCACTTAGAATTATGAACATTGGTGGCCTTTTGCACCGACCATTTTCTTAGGAGGGACCTTGATGGTATGCGTGTCTTTTGGAGTGTCATTTTTCTATGCAAAACTGTCTCTTCTTCAGTGGTTGGCCTGCTTTGGGCTACTTCTTCTAGTTCCCAGAATTTCGATAACTGCTGATCTTCCTTAATGCACGTTATTAGACTGATAACTTGCATATGTTTTCTCGACCATTTCTGCAACAGTGTCGTTTAGGACTACCATCTGGTTTAGCAGTGCTGTTAGTTTTGATGTCATCTCGTTTTGTTTTGTTTGGGCTTCGACTTTTTTTTTACCGGATGACAAATCCATGAACGACTAACGCCTGCGCCATAACGAGGTAGGATTTGATTTTGTTATCCTTTTGTTTACATACGTTGTGTTCCGAATGTTTCGAGATGGATCCGGGAATAATATTTTTTTAAAGTACTATTGAAACTTCTTCGGATTCGCCTGATACATAGGAAGAAGTCAGCTATGCTGTAGCACAAGCTGCATGTGCTAGCGCTAGCAGTTTAAGTTCAAGCCTGAAAAAAGGCATACTTATTGAAAGACAGGATAATTTTATGGCAACAATACGCAATTATAGCAATAAGGAGTTTCAGGAAAATTTTGGAGTTTCCAGAGAAGCTTTAGACTCGCTTCCTGGAAAACTTGAAAACCAGTTGAAGTCAGCAATGTATGGCCCAGAAAGATTACCAACAGTATTGTTTATAAAATTTCAAATATGCTTGTAAAACGCCTGCGCGACAAATTTTACCCATGTCTCAGAGTGGGTTAAAAAGTTGTACAACCAGGTAAACTTATCATGGCTCTGTGAACGGAGCAAATATTTTAACCGGGTGAATTAAGTAGATCCGTGAACGACTTAACCCTGCAAAAGACGCGCTCGGTGTGCACTCGGTGAGCGTCCGGCGTTCGACTGTGAACGCACTCAAGATGCCACAAACGTTTTACATAGTGAATATTATTTTCGCGACAAGGAAAAATTTTAAAATTTCAAAAAATCCAAACAAAGAAAGAAGTAAGTGCAACGAAAAGAAAAAAAATTGTTTTAAGGAAAGCCTGAATGTAATTTGTTTGTTGGTAATTGAGCGTTCCTGTTTTGCCCTTTGTTTTGTTTGTATTCTATAATGCATTTGGCAAATTTGACCGAACTCATGGTCTTTTTCTAGGACCGACCCTGAAGATGGCCCTTCAATAGGCCGAAAGCGCTCGGTTGATATTTAATCAATTTTACACCATTACAAAAACTTTGCCTTTTCTCAAACTGAGGTAATGTTTAAGCAAATTTTAAAAATAATTATTATAATATTTAGCGAAATTTTGCGCTGTTAAGTTTTGTAATTGTATGTTTTAAGTTAATGTTAATCGTTTATCTAAATTTAAAATCTCCATTATACAAGAAACCGAAATAATCTTTTAATGCTTCGAGGAATTGATTTTCCACAGTGGTTTCCTTGACCAAAAATGTTCAAAGAATCCTCGTTAAAAGCTGTGATACCGAATTTGTTTTCCCTGCACATGTCGGCTCTTATTTCTCTCATTTACATTGGTGTAGTATAAAACAAATTTGATGTAGTTAGTTATATTGTTAAAAGTAAAGTGTTCGACATGGCCGCTTGAATAGGATTAACAAAATAAAAATAATTTGTTTTGCTGAACTACAATAAATAAAGGCGAAAGGCCATTAAAAATAGATAAAACCAACAGAACCGTTTAGGCAATTACTTTCAAAGGACCTTTGGTAGGAAAGCCGTAAATATCGCTACCCTTGTTTGTGTTTACGCCATAATGGCATCATAATAAGTTCGACAGTCTGGGATAGCTCGGAACAACACTGAAAAAGCATTCTTCCGGAGATTTAAAACCCAAAGGGCGGCTTATATTGTCCTTTTTTTCTTACCGAATTTCCTTTTTTTCCTGCGGATTTACAACCTTTTATAGGGCCCTATATCAGATATTTGTTTTTTTTTTGTTCTCCCACAATAAGACACTACTACTTTATTTTCATTTTAATTCTGTGATAGATTGATTTTCATTTTTGTGTATATCCACCAAAATATTGGAATAGCTGATTTTTTACTAGAGTCAATAAAATGTATATGTCTAGCAACTCTTCCAAATTTCAAAAAAAAAATCAAATTGAGAAAAAGCTGCTCCATTAAATATGGACGAAATAAAGCATAGATGAATATAAAGTAAATATTTTGGAAGTATGTATAACTTTTGACCCCAATAAATAATAAATTTTTGGATTATTTCTAATGTTACATTGTTAGTAAATAGAAAATCAACTAGTTGCAATTTTTTCACCAACAACCTAAATAAACATAATATTGTAATTAACAGTTATTAGTATAGGTAGGTATACTTATACACGTGTGTTTTTATTTTCAAATTGTTACATTTTTATTTTAAGTGGGTATAAATTTAAAACGTTCTTATCATAGTCGACAGTCGACCTTCAATTGTTTATAAATATTTATCGTTAGAGAAACAATACAATTAAATATATATAATACTTTACAAATAAATAATTATTTTATGCTGGTTATCTAACCTTATCTTCTCGAAATTATACGCTCATTTGACGAACTCCTTTTTTGGAACACAACAGAATTTACTCAAATGGTGTGAATACAATTTGGACGTGATTTTAGAAAAATGATTAAATAATTAAGGTTCGAGGCTGAGGTATTTGCCACTTGCCCAGGCATCAAAGCGACGGGATTTTTCTTTTTTTGGCGATGCCAACATTTATATTCTCAAATGAAACATACCTATTCAAGTTCATAGAAATTCGAGCCTGAATTTTCATTTTCAATAACTATTCAGTTCAGGACCCAGTTCACAAATTAACATTATTCAAATACATAGTTGTGAATTTCTTACACACAATATCGTGATAATTTATAAGAATATTCAGATATTCAGATAAACATGATTCGGAAATATGTTTGGCTCAGGATTTAAAAGTAGTCCAATCAAAAATTATTTCCCAACCGCTACTTATTAAGTGTTAATTACATTATTGAATAAATCCATTTTGGATTGCCGAATTACTTATAATGATAAATACTTACACTATATCGAGAATGCCTTATGCTCGAAGGCCAAGGACTTGTGGCTGCAGGATAGTGACTCTTTGACCAGCCCACGGCTGTTTCGTAGGGCACTTCTCCTAAGTGACCCTAAAAAAGACGTGAATCATATTACAAACTTGTGAATATTTATATGTTTAAATTGCTAATTTATTTAAGTATTTACACTGCCACATGCCCGGAGGATAATAATTATAATAAAAACAAGCAAAAACATCATTCTGAAAATATAAAAAGTACACGTGTCGTATCTATCAACAAATGCATGTTAATTTGTCCACGACTAATTCAAATTATTTTTTATTTATATTTGTTATATTTTTAAGTTTTTATGCAAACAATTATTGTATTTACTTAAGCACTTATCAACAGGTCAATGGTCTTTTTTGAACATCTCACTATTTTTCACCGTTTTTTTACTGAGGACTTAATATTGTATATTAAGTTTAGTGCCAGAGTTTTTGAATTACGCAGAGAAAAAGATAATTCATTTATAATGGTGTCTTGACAAGAACCTTCGTTAAGTATGTTGTCCTGTTTTGGTATATGCTCATGAAATTTGATTTGGTTCAATGAAGATTTTTGCCAAAAGATACGCCAAAAAATGGCGTTAGTCAGAATGATCAACCTGGTGTTCTGGATTCCGTTGTGGATCCCATACTGTACTGCTCAAGAACTTTAGATTTAGATTTCTGAAAAACATATCTTGACATGAAACATGAATTACTATCAGTCAGTTAAAAATAGCAACCACGGAGAGGTGAGTAACCGTTTCCTATACATTTTTACCCGGCTCAACTCCAAGTTGTAACATTAAAAGTGCTCAACAAATTACCAAAATGTTCAGTAAGGAGTTGGATTATAGAATACGCAATTATTAAAGATATTTTTTTAATTACCTAGAATAAATGATAGCATTTTAACACAAATTAACGAAACACAAAGTAGTCATCCGAAAAGAATATCCCAGAAGAATCGGACAAAGCAAAATGTATATACCGGAATGATTCCGGAAGCAGGCGGAAGGAGCATCGCGATGTTTTATAGCAAAGAAAGGGCGCGTCTACATAAATGAAATTATAATATCTTTTCGACTAAGCGCAATGTCCCGTATAAATTTCCTTTCCGACATTAAACTTATAAAATATAAACCTTAGGTTAGCATCGGTCGGCATTATATCAGACCTCGCTGCGCTGCATTCGGAGAAATGAAAACAGAAAATTGGCTACCTAGTTTTGGTTGGTAAGCTGTGGAAAGGATTATAATAGATTATAAATTGATTTGAATCTCATAATCAGGTGAAAGATTCTTATTTCACATCAATTATCTCAATAAAAGTAAATATATTAAATTAAAATGCAACCTCCAAATTATGATTCATTATTTTTCGAAAATAATCTAAACTGATCATTCAAAAAGCGCTAAGTTTCAACAGAACCATCAGTTGAGGTTATGTCAAAATACTTGATAAACTTTAGTTCTTGAAAACAGCAACGTGTTGAGTACTTACTTTGACATCATTTGACAACAGCATTCGTTCAGAATACCAAATTGAGCCGATTTTCGGATCAACAAAAATCCGTGAATCGTTTATTTAACATTTATACATTGATAAACTGATATGACACGTAAATAATTGATAGAGGATACCATAAATAGCGTTCGGAAGTAAATGCGACGAAAACAAAACATATGACCACATGAGGAGAACAACGAAACCTGTAACTGAATAACGGACAAGAAATAAAACAATGCACTGAATAAAAATATTTAGGAATGAAAGTCTCATATAAGGGAACCCTATACAAAGAAATTGAAGATAGGGCGAAGGGCAATATTCCTACCAAATGGACTACTATGGGACCAAAGGATCAACAAAACAAACAAAACAAGAATATACAACACCATCGTCAAAAGTATAATCACAGAAGGACAGAACTGCAAATATGCTGGAAGTAATTGAAATTGACTTTTGACAGAGAGCGGCAGGAAGGTCAAAAATATAAAGGAAAAGAAAACCAGTAAACGTGAGACACACAAGACAATTTCTTCCATTAACTATTCTTGTTGGAAGCAACACTTTCAGGAACTACTTAAGAGATTAATAATGACATCTTCAACGAAATTCCACAGAAACCAATGCAACAAGAACTGAGCGAGTATCCTAGATTAGAGAAGGTTGAAAAGGCAATCAGACAACTGAAGACCAATAAGTCGTAATACTGACGGCATTCCTGCTGAATTCTTTAAACAATGATGCTCCGCACTAAGTGCCCAAACCCACATTCTAATAAGTAAAATATGGATTACTGAGACCATACCTGCCTAACTATGGAGGCATAGTTGCCATTTTTAAAAAGGGAGACAAGGCTCAATGTGAAAACTACAGAGGAATATCTCTACTTTTTGTGACGGGAAAGATACTTGACGGGACATTATCAAATCGTCTAATCCCAACTGCCGAACAGAACCTAGGGTTGCCAGACCTCCTATTTTTAATATGAGACTCATATATTTTAACTGTTTCTCATATCTCATATTGGCATGTTTAATATGAGATATTTCTCATATATTTTCATCAAAAAGTGAACAAAACAATAAACTAATTCTTAATTTGCCTTTTAAGCTTACACTGGTCGATAATAGATCTTCAAATTCAAACATGGCGCCGAATTAATGTTGCCACTTCTATAGATAATAAATAAAAATAAAAGTAAAAAAAAAAAAACAGAACGATTTTGGAACCCATTAATATCGGTGCAACATTTTGATGAATTTCAATTTAGCCACACATGGAATATCGTTCAGCATTCTTCGTAGCTTCGCCTGACTGCTTCCCTGATTCTTTTGTTGTCCCAAACTTTTTACAATGAATGAGACTGAAAGATCAGGAAGAGTATCTAACTACCTAGAAGAATGTCCAGCAATACATTCCAAAATCCGCTAAAAATTATAGCTAATTGCCAATTGTCAAGATGGGAGCTTTTTCGGATTCGGGAATTTTGCAGTACAGGGTGTTTCCTTATATTTTGACCCCTACCTACAGCTCAGGTATACGAGGTGGAGAAAAAATTTAAATACGAAAGTTGTAGGGTTTTATGTTTATTATCTTTTACGAATGTCAAAACGGGCAAATGACAAGTGCCAACTGTCACAATGACAAAAACTTGCATTTTTCGAATGTAACACTCTGTATATTTTTAGCTAGAATGATAGCTTTTTTTCTTCTTATTTCAAATATACCATATATGTTGATATTTGGTTCAGTTATTTTTGCGCTATTTAATTTTAAAATTGCATTGAGCAAAGCCTCATCATTGATATAAAACTGGACAGATTAAATTAAGGGTAATGTAAATGCATTTTTAAACTTGAATAGCGTAAATACAGCTGAACCAAATATCAACATATATAGTATATTTGGAATCAGAAGAGAAAAATCTATCATTCTAGTCAAAAATATACAGGGTGTTCCATTCGAAAAATGCAAGTGTTTGTCATTGTGACTGTTGGCACTCGTCATTTACCCATTTTGACATTCGCGAAAGATAATAGACATAAAACCCTACAACTTTCATATTTAAAGTTTTCTTCGACCTCGTATAGCTAAAGCTGTAGGTAGGGGTCAAAATATAAGGAAACACCCTGTACATAAAATATTCTCATATATTATTATCCAATCTTATATCATTTTATACAGGATCTCCTATTTTCAAAATTCAAGTATCTGGCAACCCTAACAGAACCTCCCGGAAACATAATGTGGCTTTAGACCAAACCACCTAACCGACGTTGAACTGATTTTCAGTGCAAGACAAATGCAAGATCAATCCAGAGAACAAAATCGATCTCTATACAATCTTGCACCCACTTTATTTTTTCTATTTGTAGGATCCATACTTCACCTTATCGGGTATTACCTGCCGTCAGCAGTGGAAAGCCTGTACAGACTTGATGGCAGCTTATTCAACCTAAACAGATAACGAGCCACGACGAAAGTATTGACGAAATCGATAATTGAACTTCAATATGCGGATGATAATGTCGTGATGGCCAATACAGAGCCAATACAGGCAAGTATCAATGCATTCCACCAGGCATATAGGAGAATCGGCTTAGAGGTTAACTTTAACAAGACGCAGACGAAATCAAGGAGACCAACAAAAATGCTACAAAGATGTTCTTAAGAAGAACATTGCAAAGTGCCGCATCGATAACAGCAACTGGGAGACGACGGCAAATGATAGACCCTCATAGTGTGAAGTAGTCGACCACAGACCCCAACCTTTTGAAGAATAGCGACGCAGACAAGAGACCGAAAAGGGGGATCGCAGGAAGGAGAACAGAGGAAGAGAGAAGAGACAATGCTGCCAGAGGCTGGGTGTGCCAAGACTTTGGAAGAACGTGCGGCTCCAGATTTGGTTTACATAGCCATCAGAAAACGCACAATCGACGACAATAAGAATAGAATAGAAAATAATCATACTCGATATCGAGTGATCGCCTATGATGATGAGTATATGATGTTAAAGATAAACAACTGATTTGATTCGGACATGTACAAGGAATGGCAAATACGAGAATATTCAAGCAAATCGTTAAGTGGAAGCACAGAGGGAAGAATGAGAAGCGGCAGACCGAGAAGAGGCTAAAGTGGAGTAAACAAAAAAATGAGAGACAGAAGCTTGGAGGAGGATGACAGATATGGTTGTAGATTGGGAATCAGAAGACGTAGATCGCTTATAAAGCGATAATCATAAAGATAGTATAGTAATGGTAGTTCCCATAAGAGTTTCCGGATGTTTCATTCAATTCGAACAAAAAGCAAACAAGGAAACATTCAATACTTTATAGCAATAAGTAACATAATCGTTCACAATTATACGTGAAACATAATATCCAACAAATGGCCACCGCGACTGCTCTCGCAGCGCACAATTATTTTGCCAAAATTTTCGATCACATCTGTGCAGATTTCCGGTGGTATCTCACGAATAATGCGCCGAATCTCATCTTTCAACTCTTGAGTTGTTCGGGGATTGTCCACATACGCTTTACTTTTGATGTACCTAACCCCACAAAAACAGTC